GGGACATCGGGGGTCCCCGTGTTTGTACCCTAAATATAAAACAACCACGTGACACCCGGGGGTGCTGTGAGGTCATTGTGGGGGGGAACTACGACTCCCAGCGTGCCTCGCGGGACGGCGCCGAGCGTCACGGGGAGACTACGACTCCCGTGATGCCCCGCGCGGCGCAGGCGCAGAGCGCGGCGGGCACGAGCGCAGGCGCGGCGGGGCACCCCGGAAGCGGCCGGAGAGGCGGAGCGGCCGCGCCCGGCACTGCCCGGTGAGCGGGGGAGGGGCGGCGGCACCGGGTGGGGCCCGGCTAGCGCGGGAGGGGGAGGGACGTGGGACACCACGGGGCGCCCCGGCGAGCGGCCGGCCCTGCGGGTCGGTGGCTGAGAGCGGCCACGGGGCCTAACGGAGGGGACGGCGGGGGCTCTGCGGGGGGATCTCGGTGCGACACCGAGCACCGGCGAGGGGGGACGGGGCCGCTCAGCCGACACGCGGGGCGCGCCGGGTGGGCCCGGCGGTGTCTCCGCGCCCCCAGCGCGGCGGGGCCGGGCCGGATAACACGGTTTCCCCCACCGGACACCGGCGCCGGGTTCCCCCCGGACCCCCCCGAGCCCACGCGGGACCGGGACCGCGGCGCGGGCCGGGCGGGGCCGCCGGGCCACGCCCCCCCGAGGCCACGCCCCCCGCCCCGGCCGTGCCCCCGCCGCCCCGCGCGCCGCCGTCCATATATGGGCATGGCCCGAACGCCGCACGCTGATTGGCCGCCGGCCGGGCGCGCGCGGGGGATGAGGCGTTAAACGGGCGGGGCTGGGCGGGGCGTGAGGGGGGCGGGGCTTGAGGGAGGGGCGGGGCGTAGCGGGCCGGGGGGCGGGGCTTGTGGCGCGCGTGGGAAGGGGGCGCCGCCCCGCGATGTCCCCGAGGGTCCCCCGGGGGTCCCCCGAGGGTCCCCCCGCCGTCACCGGCCGTCTCTCCACAGGCCCGGGCGGCCCCGGCGGCGCGGCCGTGCCATGCGGCGCTGATGGAGCCCAACGCCTTCCCGCAGCTGCAGCTGTGGTGCCCGCGGCCCTTCGGCACCTTCTCGCAGAACAAGCCATGTGCCCCCGCCGGAGCCGCCCCCGCAGCCCCCCGCAAGCCCCTGGGCTGCCGCCCCTCCGAGAACACCCCCCCGGAGCCCCCCGAGCCCGGCCCGGCGCCGGCGGCGGCCGCCGAGGACGGCCGGGTGTTGCTGGACACGTGGTACGTCATCAAACCGGGCAACACCAAGGAGAAGGTGGCCTTCTTCGTGGCCCACCAGTGCGGCACCGGCGGCGCCGGCGGCACCGGCGGCCGCGCCAGCACCATGAAGGTCAAGGGCAACTGGGGCAGTGATAGCTCCAAAGCCAAGCGGCGCCGGCGCTGCCACGACCCCAAGGCCGCGCCCGGCCCGCCCTGGGCCGCCAGCTCCGGTGATGCCCCCAAGGACCCTCCTAAGGACACCCCCAAGGACACCCCCGGCGACGCCGTCGGGGACGGCGCCAGCGACGCCCCGGACCTGTTGTCGGTGGCGGAGATGGTGGCGCTGGTGGAGCGGCGAGCGGCGCTGGCCCTGCAGAGCCTGCCCCGGCCCTGCGACGCTCCGGCCCCGCTGGTGCTGCTGGAGGCGCCCGGTGGTCCCGAGTGCCGGCGCGTGGCCGCGGCCGTGGCCCAGTTCGAGTCGCAGCAGCAGCACCGGGAGCGCGGCGGGGCCCGGCCCAACGGGCTGTGCCGCGGCGGCCCCGCAGCCGAGTGCGCCCCGGGAGCGGCCACGGCGGCGGGGCCCGGCGAGGTGAGGATCGCCTTCCGCATCTCCAGCGGGCGGGAGCCCCGAGCGGCCGCCGCGGCCAGCAGCGCCGTCCCCGAGCGACCCCGCGCGCTGGGCGCCAAGGACCAGATCACCTGTGACCTGTACCGGCTGGTCAGCCCGGCGCGCGCCGGCGTGGAGCTGCTGCTGGCCGCCAAAGGGGACAAGGACGGCGCCGACGAGGCGGCCGCGGCATCGGAGCCGAGCTCCGGCGTCGCCGAGGGTCCGGCGGCGCCGCGGGACTGCGCGTCCGGCTTCCACGTGGACGTGGTGGTGACGGGCGTGGTGGACCAGTGCGTGTTCTTCGGCAAGGACAGCGCCAAGCAGGTGACGGAGGAGACGGTGCGGCTGCCGGACGAGCCGCCGCCACCGGGGCAGCTCTTCCTGCTGCCCGGCCGGCCCGAGGAACCGGCGGCGTCGGCGGCGTCGCCGGGCCGGGAGGCGAGCGGCGACCCGGCGCTGTGCCGGCTGTACCGGCACGTGTCCCACGACTTCCTGGAGATCCGGTTCAAGATCCAGCGGCTGCTGGAGCCGCGGCAGTACATGCTGCTGCTGCCCGAGCACGTCATGGTGAAGATCTTCAGCTACCTGCCCACGCAGGCGCTGGCCGCCCTCAAGTGCTCGTGCCACTACTTCAAATCCATCATCGAGACTTTTGGCGTGCAGGCCACGGATTCCCGCTGGAACCGCGACCCGCTGTACCGCGACGACCCCTGCAAGCAGTGCAAGAAGCGCTACGAGCGCGGGGACGTGTCCCTGTGCCGCTGGCACCCCAAGCCCTACCACCACGACCTGCCCTACGGCCGCTCCTACTGGATGTGCTGCCGGCGGCCGGACCGGGATGCGCCCGGCTGCCGGACGGGGCTGCACGACAACAACTGGGTGCACCCGGCCGGCCGCAGGGAGGACGGCAGGTGAAGGATGGAAGGACGGACGGACGGACGGACGGATCGGGGGGGGGGGGGG